CTCTGACATTTCAGATGCTCCTTTCTTCTTGGTATTTCAATTTTGTTTGATTTATTATTCTTGTTGGTTTGGGGTTTGTTTTTTGTTTGTTTGTGTTTTTAATGTTAAAGATGTTTAAGTCTGTACGAATTCCAATGTTAAAAAGAAAAACCACTTTTGAACAGAGTTGGTAGAAAAAAAGTAGCAAGATCAAAATTTTATGGGTGCTCTTCAGCAGCCTGCTGAGGGGCTGGCACAGCAGCAACATTTCCAATTTACAAAATAAGTACTTAAATTAAAAGTACTAATCCATAACTTGTTTCACCAGTTTGAAAAAGAACACAGCTATTTATTTCAGGTAACATATCTACTCCTACCTATTTGGAGTTTATGTGCAATTTTGATATTGTTGATAATCAAATTATTGATTGAGTTAATCCTTAACCCATCTTTATTAGTGACAAGTTTCACTGGTACCTTTAGAAATAGGGGAAAAAAATTGCAAAGTAAAACCCAAATCTAATACACAGCAAATTTAATTTATCAGCTTGTGCACTCGACATTTTTCCTCCCAATCAGAAAAGTTAAAACAACCCCTCTAGGTGTGCAAGATGTACTTCAATAAGCAGCCCACGGTTCCAGAGGGGATCCAGAACTGAAGAGCCTCACAGAGGTAATGCAGTGGAGCTGGTGGGACAGGGACTGAAAGGGGCAGACATAAATCTGATATATTTTTATGTTTTGTTCTCATGCAGAAGGGAAACTGGAAGACATTGGGCTTGGGCAGTAAGAGCCATGTGATTTCACTTAGCATGAGTGGTTTTGCTGTGCTTGAAGCACACTGTGAGGTGTGTCCTCAGGGGAGGGACACAGGACAGGAGGCAGTGCCCAGTGAAGCACGAGGTCACAGTGCCCTCTGCCAGTCCCCTCCTTACCCTGATGCCAAGGAGACCCTTTGTACACCCACTCACCCACCCCCCAGCACTCCAGAGGTGCTACTGGGTCACTTTTCCCCCAAAACACACGGTAGCAGGAGATCCCAAACCCCCTCCCAGCCCAGCCCCTCAAATATTGACAAGAAACGTGCCAGGTGACCTCGTGCACCTTTGCAAGGGATGTTTAATAGTTTTCCTTTTCAATACCACTGTTCCACATACACCCAGCAGGGTCTGAGTGCCTCTCCAGCCCCTGTGGGTCCCTAAGGCACTCAGTGGGAGCAATCCAGCAGGGATGTTTCCAGCACATGGCACCAGCAGTGAATTCTGCAGCAGCTCTGCCACAGGACTGTGCCCGTTGGATTGGACTGGTGTGAGGGTGAGTCCTGCACCAGCTCCCTGGAGTTTGGCACCTCTGTCATCACCACCTCACTCTTCTCACCCTGCCTGGGGGAACTCTCGGTGCTCCCACTGCTTTTGAGAATGAACATTCAAATTTTAGTAATACACTTTGGAAAACCAATGGATTGGTCTTCCCCTATCAACTCAGCCCTTCCAAAGGCCCACGTGCCCTCCCTTGGGAAGCACCTCCAGCTCCAGCTGCAGGACACAAGGCTCAGAGGATTGTGCGTTGTTCCAGCCCTACCTTACAGCCTTCTGCCGTCAAGAAATTACCTTGAACGTAAATCAAACTGCCTTGAAACAGCGGAAATAAATTAAACAAATGTAATTTGCTTATAAAAATAGTTTCTTATAAATCTTTAAAGCTTATAAAAGCCAGAAAATACATTTAAAAGAATCTCCGGAACATTTCATCCTTTGAGGTGCGGTTACAGTTCAGAAAGTGAGAAGAAGCAAAGCCCACAGACATCTCACATTGATCTTCCCACAAGGAATTCCACAGTACCATGCTTAACCTCCAGTCTGAAAGCCTTGGGCATCCTTCCCCGGCTCAGCTGCCCTGTCAGACCATTTCTGTGTGAAAATAAAAGCTGGCACTCAGCTGGCAATGCTGCTGCCTCTACAGCCACGGCACCAGGAGCTTTCGCAGAGGTGCCCTATGGAAGCAGAGCTCTGGAGGCAGGGGTAAGCATGGGGCACGGAGGTGCTGCTTTGGCCATTCCTTTCTGAACTGCTGTGCTGTGGGGAGGGCAGTGGTGCCACGCACAGCCCTGCCTCGGCCATGCAGATCTCCCTGGCCTGGCACAGGACACCGAGATTCCGGGGTGCTGATTATGGGGAACGTCTCTGTAATAAAACTAAAACCACCTTGCTGGTCCATCCAACACCTGAGTGCATCAATTGCTCCTCTTGCACTTCCACGAAGACTGTCCTTCGTCCTGCAGCTTTTTGAATTTTGGTCCAAGGAAGAACCACCAGGCAAAGCCCAGGACGACGCAGATGATGGACTCCACGTAGTACCCGTCCAGGGTGGTGACACAGGAGCCCCCAGCTGCTGTGCACAGCTGAAACAGAGCACAGGCAATGCACTGAGCACACAGGCAATGCACTGAGCACACAGCACTCCAAAGCCGTCTCCCTGCTCCTGGGCAGGACTAAATAGAGTTTTTTACTCTTTGTTTCCTATGCAGTTGGTCAGAGAGGCTTTTGAGCTTATCAGCAGCACGAAAAGTAACAAAGTACCAAACCTGCCCTAAACATGTGGGAAATGGAGCACATCAGCCCAAAGGGCAAACTCCAGCAAACAGACACAGCCCCGCTGTCCGTGCTGGCCTGCAGGTGCAACCACTGCTCCCAGCCTCACAGAGAAAGATGATTTTTTTCTCTAGCCATCCATGTTGTGGGCTCCCCAGACCTGGAAATGTCCAAGGCCAGGTTGGACAGGGCTGGGAGCAAGCTGGGATAGTGGAAGCTGTGGCATTAGATGGGCTTTTAGGTCCTTCCAATCCAAACCATCCCATGGTTCTGTGTCTGGGAGAAACACACCCAGGGTGGTTTTGAACTGGAAGACAAACACCCAGCATTCACAGGGTGATTGTACAGCCCAGGATTGTTTCTGCTATTGTCTGGCTTTCAACACTGCTCTAATCCCAGGATTAATCAACTCTCTGAGCTGAGGCTCTGCCAGCGTGGTCATTATTCTGAGACATGTCAAAATCAGATTAGGAATAAGAAGGGAGTGGTGGTGGAATGTCACCAACCAGGAGGATCAGAGGAGTGAGGTGAAGGAGGAGGAAGGACTCAAGCTCAGCAGAAGCTGAGACACAAGGAACCTAATTAGTAACAGGCTGGGAAAGCATCTGCTGCAGAAGCAGTTTCCTCTCTGCACCAACAAAAACTGCAACTCCAGTTCAGACAAGTCATGCTGGACTCCAGAACACTCTGATCATTTAGAGAACCTCCATTTCCCAGAGCATCCTGGCATTCAGGAGTGAAATAAATCTCAGTCATGAGCACAAAACAAAAAAAAGCCCCAAACATTTCTACTCTTCAGCCATGTCAAATGTCTCATTTGCTGTGAGGAGGTGAATTTGAAATGTTGCTTTCCCAGCAGTTTTGTGTCCTGTTGTTTGATCTGTGTACAGCAAGTTCTTTGTTCTCTTCCACAGGGCTCCCAGAACTGGGCAGGCAGCCAGTTCCACTTGATTTCATGGGGAAAGTGGACACCAAAATCAGAGAGCAGAGCAGCATCTTGGAGAAGGTATCAAGGCAGGCAGATAAGAAGCCTCCAGGGAGACAGGAGGAAGAAAAACCTGCCAGAGAAACAGAGGCCCTGGGGGAGGGACAGAGAGCCTGCCAAGGACAGAGCCCTTGACCCCAACCACAGCTACAGGCTCCTCACACTGCAGGGAATGTGGCACCAGTCTGGTGCTTCTCCTCCAGGTAGCATGGGAACAAAGGGCTCACAACTCTGCAGCTGCAAACCCTGGGTAAGGGGTGCTTATTCTGAGTGCCCAGCTGCTGACAGCCTGGAATTTATCAGACAGGAGAATGAGCCCCATCAGTGGGAATTTTGAACACAAGCTATGCACTGTGAAGGTTCCCAAAGGAAGCCATTTAACAGACATGGAGCAGAGCCCCCCAGCCCCAGGCTCACCTCTGAGGCCCCTGCAGTGGCACAGGTGTGGCCCTGGGCCCCAGCACACTCCTTCACTGTCAGGGGGTCCACCAGCCACAGGGCCACCGTGGAGGGCCAGTTTCCCCCCAGGTTGGAGACGGTGTTGAGCAGGGTCATGTAGGTGCCCCCGATGAGCGGGTCGCTGACCTTGGCGTTGAAGGCCATGATGGCCACGTACATGCTGTACAGCGTGATCTGGGGACAGACAGACACACACAGACAGACAGGGCTGAAACCCCCAGCACAGCCCTGAGCTCAGCAGCACTGACTGGAAACGACCCCAGCAGCAGCAGCAGCTCCTCCTGCAGCCTGGCCCTGTGCTAACTCGGGGAGTGGCCTTGCTGCTTGCCTCAAGTCGTGCTGCAACAGACCCGGCCTCACATGCACTGGCATGACTTGGGTTAGCAACCTGAAACACAATCAGCCAGCTAAAACAGCACCTAACACAACCCTTCTGCATCTGAAAATCACCTCTCAAGGCCCTGCATTCCAGTTCTGATGCACAGACCATGCTGTATCAGGTGCTTGTTTCCAAGTCTTTGGATCAGATCCATTATGATGTTCCTCCAACAAATGAGTTCTTTTCCTAGGACCAGGATCACCTAACTTTGTTTGCACAACCATCAGCATGCCTACCAAGCTCAGGCACAGTTCTGGGGTTTCTCCAGTTCCTCTGTGCTTTTGAACTTCTGGGTCTGGGGAAAAAGGAATCTGGGGAACTACACCAGTCACGGAGAACTCAAGTAGCTGCCAGATGATGTCCAATGGAGCAAAGGGAATAGGGAGGAATACCACTGGCAAGAGTATTAGAAGTCAGTCCTGCCACACAGCACAGGTCAGGAGGGAGGGATTCCAGTGTGAGCCAGGACAAGAGAGGGAACAGCATTTCCCCTCCCCACACTGTGACTGTTACCTGGTGTAGAGCATAGCTCAGCACCACTGCAGCATAGTAGTAGACAGGAAATCCTCCTTCATGCTTTACTTTAGGAGCCCACCACACCAGGAAAGCGAATTCCAGGCCAAGCAGCAACCTGGAGGGATGAGAAAGATGATTTGTTATTCCAAGTAATCCTTCCCATGTGGTTCCCCAACACAAAGCAACCACTGAACAACTACAGAGACTACATTAAATTAGTTTAGATCCAAAGAGTTACACCTATTTCTATCTCAGAACTAGATATCAAATATTTGACAAGCAGTGACATTGCTAGTTAGGAGCAGGAGAGCACCACTCTAATGGTGCTGTACATGCACATCCCATGCTTCCACACAGTGACACTGCATGAACCAGACAGTTCAACTCACTGTGACAATCCTGACACACTTCTCTGGACCTGGAAGTGAGAGAGTTACACACAAAACCCTACAGGTGATCTGAACACACAAACTGAGCACACTGTGTTCCACTAAAATGAGGCTTTACCTGTAAGGCATTGCTTTGTAGAAGGTGTTCAGGGGCTGGGGGCCCGCTGTGTATTTGCTGATAACCAGAGGCAAGATGATCTGCAGAGGAACCATTGGAACTGCCAGCAGAGCCAGGTGCTCTTTGGGGACTCCCTCCTCCACCAGTTTGAGTCCTGTTACAGCATCTGCTGCTGAAAACCCAATCTGCAATGTCAGGGAGACAAAATAAGCTGAGGAGAACAGGGAGTTTGGCTACAAATTCAATTTACTCCCTATCACGTAAATTGAGAAATGGGATACAGAACACACTGTCACTGAAGTCACTTCTGCCCCTGATTTGATTTCCAGATTAGTTCTGCATGTTCTACACTTGACCACTCTTACTGTCATCCCAGCCAAAACTATTCCAGGAACATTAAGCAGCACTGCCATTCACTCCTGTGCCTTCCCTGCTGGCATCCTCAGTGTCCAACCAGGAGCCATGGAAACCCAGCTTGGGCAGAGCTGGGGATTCTGAGCTAAAAACAAACATTTTCTGTCCTTTCAACTGCAGGCTACACAGCCTGTTTAAAAATGGACTTTAATGCCACACTGCCACCAAACTTCTCTTCAATGCTTGTGTCAAACACAAAAGCTCTCACAAACCTTTTCTGCTGCACAGCCCTGCTCAGCACAACGAGAGAACCCATTCTGCTTGAATTTCATGTGAAAATTCACAACTCTTGTGACAGCCAACAGCAAAACTTAGCTACATCCCAGGGACTCAGCAGCCTTCCAGACTCTGATATCAGCATTTAACAATTCTTACGTGTATTTACTTACTTTTGAAGTGAGGATCAAGAGACAGAAAGTAAGAACTGCTGGCATCTTGATTATTGAGAATAGCAGCCTGTATGTGTCAGTGATGCCTTTTGTTTCTTCCTTTGCTGGTATTAGCTCCTCGTTTTCCTTTTTCAAGAAGGCAACCAATGTAGTGGTAACTAAGAAGACAGCTCCCCAGAAAAACAGGAAATCTGGAGGGGAAAATAAAATAAAATAAAAATTTCTTAGTAGCAGCCATGATTGACAGTTGTAGAACGTAAACTTAATAACCAAAGTGGAATAAAAGCAAGCAGCAAAATCAAACCACAAGCACAGAGCTACATCCAGTGAGTGACACAGCTCTGCCCTCCTCTGCAAGGAGGTGATGCTGGGGCTGAGGCAGAGGAGCAGCAGCAAACCAGGACACCTCCCTGCTGCTTGCTGGGTTATTACCACAGCGAGCATGCTGGAGAAGGAACAGAGGCAAAAATGAACGTGTTGAAGGATTACACACACAGCCACTACAGGCTGATAAAGGAGGAAAACCACATGTAATCGTTAGAAAGCAGGGAAGAACCTCCAGAGGCAGAACTCCTTCCCAGCTCCTCCCTTACCCTGCAGCCAGGGAAGCACTCTGTGCCTCAGCTCTACAGCCCTAACATCCATCTCCCACCTGCAGGAAACGGGCATTTAGGAGGGTGAAGATGGCCCCAGGAAAGTTTTCACAGACTTGTAAGGAGTCCTCAGATTTATCTGGCTGAAGTGGATCCTTGGCAGCATTCCAGTGCTCTGCTTTAAGCAGATCAGTATCTGCTAAATCATGGATGTGGGGCAGCAAAAAACCAGCAAGAGAGTACTTTCTGACTGAGTGAATGGCCAGGTCAAGATCATCCTATCCTGTGCCTCTAGGACAGGGGCAGGAAAGAACTCAGCCTGTGCAGGGCTAGGACAGACGCAGCATAAAGGACTCAGCCTGTGCCTCTAGGACAGAAGCAGCATAAAGAACTCAGCCTGTGCAGGGCTAGGACAGACACAGCCTTTATTCTTCCTGGTCAGGAGCAGCCCCAGCAGCCTCCAGGAAACCCAGCAGGAGCAGCCAGGGTGGGTGAAAGTGCAGAGACAAAGGTTTGGTCAATCATTGCCCGCTGCTCCTGCACAGCAGGGAAGAAAACGTGCAAGGACTGCTCCAGGTGTGCCCCACCATTCCCAGGGTAACAGAAAAAAGGCTCCTCATGCCATTTCTGCTACTTTTCCCTTTCCTAAAACAAACATGACCTCACAGGCAATGCTGTCAGATTGCTCTCTCTTAAAAAACACAAGGTGCCCTGAGCAGACATTCTCAAGGAAAGAAGCATTTTCTGAGAGTCTCACAAATCACAGCTGCTGGCTACAAAGGATGTAGAGGAGTTCTCTAATAATAACCCTGAGCATTATCACTGCAGTGAGAGACAGTGCAAGGATGGGGATAGAAATAGCTCTGAGCATCATCACATGAGTGCTCCTGATCAGGCCAGCCCTGTCAGCTGCAGCACAGCACTGCAGGGGCTGCATCAGCAACAAAGCAAAGCAAGAAAAAAGAAAAAAAAAACCACCATATATATATATATATATATAGTAGTTCAGACAAGAAAAACTGGGTTTTTTGATGCTGTAGGCCATTTACACAAAAATAAGGTACATTTCCTTTCAAATGCAAGGAACCTCACTAACAGGCTACAAGCAGAAGAACTTTGAATGAGAGTTTACATAAGGGATTTCAAGGACAAACTTTCTGGTGCCACCACTGCTGCTTCCCCCAGCCCTATTTTGTTTCTGCAGCTACACTGCTAGCAACAAAACAAACCACTGAGATGGGGCAAGACAAGGTTTTCAACTAGATCAGGGATGGATGAGGCTGGAAAACAGCCTGAAGAAGGTACCCAGGTGGTGCAGGTACCCAGGATCCCAGGAAGAGGGGTGTTCCACAGTCCCTGGCACAGGTGAGTGGGGGAGGCCTTTAAGGGGCACCTCTGTCCTGTGTTCACTCTTTCCCTGTCCTTCCCTTTCCCTCTCTTTTTCTGGAATGGGCAAACCAGGCAGGAATCACAAACCCAGCCAGGGAGCTTCCCCTGCTCTTAAATAAACTGAAGTCACCTGAACAGCAAGTGCAAAATAAACCCCTGGACGCGCCAGGACAATCAGCCCACAGAACAGTTTTTCCTGTTTCCTTCTCTGGCACTTCAGCCTGACACAGCCCAGCACAGCCTGTGCTTTGGTGAGTTTGATGATGGGTTTACATTTGTCCATATTATTTCCTGAGGTTAATGACAACAATGAATGCTGCTGCTGCTTCTCAACAACTCCAAGCTGACTCAGGATCACAGAATATCTTCAGCTGGGATGGACCCACAAGGATCATCCCAGCTCCTGGCCTGGCACAAGACATCCCTGGCAGTGCTGCCCAAAGGCTCCTGGGGCTCTGGCAGCCTCAGGGCTGTGCCCATTCCCTGGGGAGCCTGGGCAGAGCCAGCACCCTCTGGGGAAGAACCTTCCCTGCTACCCAAACTAACCCAGCTCCCTCGGGGTGCTGCCCTCTGGATCATGGAGTGGTGACCTGTTCTTTCCCTGGCACTGGGCTCAGCCTACAACAAAAGTGCTCAGAGATCTGAGCTGGCAGAGAACATTCACCTTTTCCAGCAGTGAAGTTTTCTGCTGCTTTACCTGCCCAAACCTGCTCATCACAAGCCCATTACAGCCAAGGCAAGGACAGTGAGCCCCTGTGCTCCTTGGTGAGCTGGTGACTCCTGCTGCTCTCAGCTGCTCCAGGGAAACACCAAACTGTGCCACTCACACCACTGAGAAACAGAAATTTCTTACAGTTTTACCACCTGAAAAACCATATCCTGCAACTACAGTGTCAGTTATTTGCTGTTCTTACTCCACCCACATCAATACTCCAGGGCAGGTTAAGGAGGTGGCATTGGTGCTGTTTGGGTTAGGGGATAATATCTTTTAAAAACAGCACTTTTGTAATAGCAACAACCCCATTTATACAAACAGCCCTGAGGGGAAAAAGCCCCAACCAACCAAAACCCTGGGCAGTGAGGGAAGTAGAGCCAAGCCAGGCTGTCTGAACAGCAGTGGCTGCAAGTTGCATCAGCAGCAAAGACGTCAGTGTGCACTGCAGTGAGAGGATGGACACGGCAGCCCAGGAGCTGCACAGCCCCAGGGAAAGCCAGGAACCAGCTGGGACACTTGCAGGGCCACTCTGTGCTCCTTGGCACAGGCTGGCAGCAGGGAGCACAGGGAAGGACTGCTGAGCAGGGTGAGAGCTGCAGAGACCAGGCAAGCACAGCAGTGTGGACACTGCTGTCCTGGTTCATCCCTGAGGAAAGGCAGCACAGAAAGCAAAGCTCCCCTTCACACAATTCCAGCCTGTTCTGTCATCCCTGATCTGAGATGGCTCAGGCAAGGCAATCAGTGTGAGGGGAGCAGGGACTGAGAGCTTGGGAGCTGCTCTTCACTGCAGCAGGGTCACCCTGAGGCTGCAGCCAGAATGGTGCCAGCATTTCCTGTCCTCACTCAACCTTGCAACCAAACCAGCTGCACTTCAGCATCTCCAGGGTAATGCCCCTAACATCAACCACCACACAGAACCTTTCTGAGAAAAATCCCAAACCCCAGCAAACAGAAACATCCCTCCACTGACAGACAGTTATACTTGGATTACCACATTCCATTTAATTCACTAAAGAGAAAAAGCAAATCCCCCCCTAAAATAAGGCCTTCCTTCAGAAACTGGCTATATGCCCAACCCTGAACACTTTCACTTTTATTCTGTGAAAAAAAATCATATTGGAAGAATCTGGTTTTGTTTCTTTGTTTGATTCTTTCTTCTTCCCACATGGAGACTTTGGCTTGCTTTTCTTAAAGAGTAATCTAGTCCATGGCCATTAAACCAGGAGGAAAAAAAAAAAGAGTTCCTCCAAAGTGCTTAGGTCAGCCAAGATAATGACAAGGCAGGTTAAAGCCCAGCAAAATCTGAACTCCAGTGCATTTAGCAGAGGACTCTGCCAGCCTCCAAGCAGGCTGTGCTTTCCCACGGGGCAAGGGACACACCAAACCTGTTTGGTTCCCAGCATCAAACCACAGAGGGCTCCAGGCACAGGGAAGAAGCATCCTGAAGAAGATATAACCATTATCATTAGGAAAAAATCCTTCCCTGGCAGGGTGGGCAGGCCCTGGCACAGGGTGCCCAGAGCAGCTGTGGCTGCCCCTGCATCCCTGGCAGTGCCCAAGGCCAGGCTGGACATTGGGGCTGGGAGCACCTGGGGCAGTGGGAGGTGTCCCTGCCATGGGAATCCCTTTGGTCCCCTCCAAAGCAGCGCACTCTGGCTCTGTCCCAGCACACCGGGGCGCACACCCGGCCGTACCTGAGAGGGTGACGATGCCCCGCGGCTGCGGCTCGAAGCGCAGGTACTTGTTGCAGAAGGAGGCGGACTCCAGGGCCAGGAACAGCACGTTTCCCAGGAAGTAGCCGGCCGTCTGCCCCACGGAGTTGCAGGTGGAGGCGTAGCCCACGTTCTCCCGGGACAGCATGGTGAGCGCCCAGCCGTCCACCGCGATGTCCTGCGTGGCCGCCAGGAACTCGAAGAGGAAGAAGGTGAC